GGTGGAGTGACTGTCCATGTGGGTCTTTATGGAAAGTTTGGATGTGGTGCTTAGGGAGATGATTTAGTGGGTAATATTGGTGGTAGGGGGGTGGTTGGACCAGATGATCTTGGAGGTCTATTCCAACTTTAATGATTCTATGACTCTAAGACAGTTGTCCCTCTCAGGGATAAAACTTCAGATGTGTAAGAACATGTACTGGAGAAGAGAGACACTTAGCTCTGCCTATCGTAAATGACACCCATAAATGACCAAATCAGATGAAAGCCATTGTAGGCTGCTCAGAATATATTAATGAACAGTGAAAAGAATCAATGATCTTTAATTTAGGTATCTGTTTCATTTTCATTTGACCAAGAAAATCTCCCTGCACTTAAGAATGATGTCCCCAGATGCCCAACTGATTCCTGGAATTAATCGATCAGAGCATGAAGATACTTGCATATATCTTGGCCCACCTCTGGCACCTCCAATGTCACCTGGTGTTTGCATATGAACAGCTCCCTCCTGGCCTCTGTCTCTATTCAGTGTGCTGGGAGCTGAGACTAGCTCACTTGCACAAGACTGGAGTGTGCCCACCTGAACCTAGGCAAAAGAAATCCCAGCTCCTGTGGGCTTATTGCGCATGTGAGAGAGCAAAGCCTCCTTCTAACCATTGGACTGCAAAGAATGAGATGCCTTGGTTGATTCAGCTGAAACCCTTCCCTCAGCAAATGAAGGCAGATCCCTCCCTATCCCTGTATGGGTGTCCTGCCTAAAACCAGAACACAGAAAGGTGATTCTTGAACCTCATACTTCTTTTGATATGAGGAATGATAGTGCTGGAAATGAGTTTCCTTCCCCAGTGGATGGAAGGATCATCTGTGATAACTTCATTCTGTTTCAACGTTGTTTCCTCTAGAGTCCCAGGAATTTGTCAAGAGCTCCCTGTGCTGCTGACCTAGGCTGGACTCCTGGGCCCAAGGGGAGCTTCTGGTAAGCGGGCAGCACTGCAGAGAGACAGCTCTGCCCAGGAGCAGCTCCTCTGCACAGCGCAGCAGGGCTGGGGGCACTGCCTGCAGGGGACAAGGGTGGCTGAGAGAAGGGAGGGAGATGTTAAAGGCAGTGTGGAGGGGGGATGCTGAGAGATCACAGTGGGAGAAATCTTCACAGCCCTGAACAGGGTAAGTCTCTGACTGCAGGGCAGCACAGCTGTATTCAAAGAGTCTCTGACTCTGAAGAAGGCCAGCTATCTGTGCGCACCCTCCATGGCCAAAGAACCACTTGCGTGGGAGGCAGTCAGTGGCAGTGCCCCTGACACCATCTGGCTCTGCCTTCCCAGTGTAATAAATGGCTCATACATTTGTGGTATAACCTATGTGGTTATACAAGTGTATGTAAGAAAGAAGGTCACATTCATCATACCATGTGGCCCTAGCATTGTTCCATACTGACACGAATCAGATGAACATATCTCACACCAGCCTGACCAGCACGGCCCTGCTGAGTGCCCCCATGGCCCCATGCACCACAGCCCCCTCGTTCTGCAGAGCAGCACCGCCAGTTGGGGGGCTGTGGGCAGCATGGGCAGGGGCTGCAGGAATGGCTGCTCAGACCAGCCCGGACGTGCTGGGCTGGGGGAAGGCTGTGCAGGACATGGTGTGTCCCGGGAGCAGAGCAGGGCACTGAGTGTGTGTGCAGTGGTGTTGCTTGAGGAGCCCCAGGGCCAGCAGTGTGGTGCTGTGATGTGCTGGGGAGCAGGGCTGGTCTGGGAGGCTCTAGGGTGTCTGGGAAGGTGGATTGGTGGTGTTTATCTCCTGCAGATGGCAGCAGCAGAGACACTTCCAGTGACCTCCCCTGCTTCATTAGCAGCTTTGTTGCCAGCCCAGCCTGGGTTTCCCTGCTGGGCTGGGTGGGGAGAGGAGATGGAGGTGTGGAGAGCTGGGGAGGGTCTGGGCTGGGCTGGCCTCCTGGCAGAGAGAAGGGAACCACAGAGCAGTCTAGGCTGAGTCCTTGTTCACTAGATATGGATATGACCAATGCTAGTCATCATGACTTTCACACCAACTCCTTCTCTGAAGAGTTCTCAACATTTTTCTAAAATATGCATTCAGTTCTTGAATCAGTTTTCCACACAGAGGTGGCCATTTCCTTCAGGATGCCCTGGAGTTGCTGAAACCTACATGGGGAAACGAGTTTGGATATGTGGGAGACCTCCCAAAGCAGGAACTGGTTGGCAGGCAGAGTACCTGAGGGACTGTGCAGAGCACCCCCTGCACCCAGTGCTTCTCGGTGGGCTGGGATGAGACCTGCTGAGCACAACAGCTCCTTGTAGCCCTGTGAACACTGGCTGTGAGGTCACTTGTGTCACAGCACCTGTCTGGACAACAGCAGGGAGGCAGAGCCTCTGAGGTCATAAAGGCCCTCAGAAAGCTGCCCCAACAGGGTGACACATTTGGTGAGGCCAGGGGAAAGCTGGGAGAATAACGGTGGGGGATTTGGGAGAGAGAAGAGGGGTTTCGCTAACAGAAAGGAAAGATTTTAAAGATTTAAGAGGGGTTCAGGTAAGGCTGATGCTTCTGCAACACTCACAGGGAACATCTTCATGTTGTGTCCTGGTAATATTTCTAACTAGTAACCCGAAAATCTAGTGCTGTCCTTAATGCTTTCTCTCTCCCTTTAAGGCATCCATTGCTCTAATCCCCAACCTCATTTCCTAATTCAAAGTCAGACCCCAAGCACATTACTTGTTACCATTAGTCACAGAATCATAGAATCATAAAAACACAGGGTTGGAAACCTACAAGATCATCTAGTCCAATCATCCTCCTATCACCAATACCCCAAGCTACTAAATCATATCTCAAAGCACCTGAGACAGGTGCTTCTTGGACACTGCCAAGGATGGTGACTCCACCACCTCCCTGGGGAGGCCGTTCCAGTGCCTGACCACTCTTTGAGAGAAAAAGTTTTTCCTGATATCTAAACCAAATCTCCCCAGGCGCAACTTGTGGCCATTTCCTCGAGTGCTATCATTAGTTATCAGAGAGAAGAGGCTGACCCCCTCCTCATCACAGCCTCCCTTCAGGAAGTTGTAGATTGCAATGAGGTCTCCCCTGAGCCTCCTCTTCTGCAGACTAAACAATCCCAGCTCACTCAGCCGCTCTTCACAGGACCTGTGCTCCAGACCCCTCACCAATTTTGTTGACCTTATCTGGACATGCTCCAGGGCCTCAGTGTCCTTCTCGTAGTGATGGGCCCAAAACTGAACACAGTACTCCAGGTGTGGCTTCACCAGAGCTGAGTACAGGGGATGATCACCTCGCTGCTCCCGCTGGCTACACTATTTCTAACACAGGCCAGGATACCATTGGCCTTCTTTCCACCTGGGCACGCTGCCGGCTCATGTTCAGCCAAACATCGATCATCACTCCCACGTCCCTTTCCTCTTCACAGCCACTCTGTCCCAAGCCTATAGCATTGCATGGGGTTGTTGTGGCCAAAGTGCAGGATCTGGTGCTTAGCCTTGTTAAACCCCTCCCATTAGCCTCAGCCCAGCCTATCCCAATCCCTCTGAAGGACCACAGCCTCAGGCAGATCAACATTACCTCCCAACTTGGTGTCGTCTGCAAACTTACTGAGGGTACATTCAACCCCTCATCTAGGTCATCAATAAAGGTATTAAACAAGATAGGCCTCAGTACCAACCCCTGGGCGCCCACTTGTAACGGGACGCCAACTGGACTAACTCCATTAACCACAACCCGCTGGGCATGGCCCTCCAGCCAGTTCTTCACCCAGAGAAGACCCAAGGGACAGATGACCCAACGGGATTAAATAGATGCTCCAATAGGTGTTCCAGCCCACCATCCCACTACCAAAAGCACCGCCCTCCCAGCCTGCACAGAGGAGCCTGCTGGGGAAGAGCTGGAGGGCTGTGGGGACCCACCAGCAGGAGCTGGTGCCAAGTCCTGCCCAAGGGTCCAAGACATCTCCCCGTTCACCTCTTGCAACTGAGGTATCTCTGCCCATGGGTGCTGGGCAGGCATCCTTAGGCTCCATGGGGGCCCAAGGCAGCAGAAGGTGGGCACTGCAAGGGAGTGTCTCATGGGGCTTCCCAGAGATCCACTTTGTCTGGAAACTGCCTGTGGCTGGCAGGACGGAAATGTCTCTGTCAGTAGGAATAGTGTCCAGGGACCAGGGGCTCTGTCAGCCCCAAAGCCAGACCCCGATCCTGCTGGCTCTAAGATGTGCCCCTTCCCAACTGCTGCATCTTTGAGCTCTTCTCCCCTCCATCAGCCTCAGGAGACACCCAGAAACATGGTCAGGGAAGACTGGATCTGGGGCAAAGCCCCCAGAGGGTTTTAATATGAGGAAATACCAACACACAGCATAAAAACAGGGGAATACCAAGAGGGGAAATACCCATGTGTGTCTGCTGACTGCTGGAAAAGGGAGACCATTCCCTGGCACTCACGGCTCTCCCAGTGGCACTGAGCTCTCCTCCCTCCCGCTGCACCCAGCTGCTCAGCAGGGCTGGGCTCTGCTGGCCTGGGGCTCTGGAACTCTTGTGCATGGGGCTCTGGTGTCACATCCTGGGTGTCCTCATGGGGATGCCAGAGACACCTCTTCAACATCGTCATAGCCCGTGGTCCCCAGGAAAGGTGACGAGGTGTCTCCCTCAGCTCCAGGGACCCCAGCACTTCTCCGGGAGTGCAGGCTTCCCCCTGTAAGCATCAAGGCAGGCTGCTGTGGTTGGGCCTGTGGGGTGCCCCTCGGGCTGTTTATCACCTTCCTCGTCCTCACCAGCCTGAGACACTCGGCCCATTCTCCCAGCCCCCACAAAATATCCCAGGACAGGTTCTCCATGGATGGTCAGGCTTTCAATATGGCATGGATTCTCCTAGGCCTGGGGTTGGCACCTAGGAAGTGGCAGTGCTGCATTGCCCTCTCACCTGTGGCTGCATCCCTCGCCCATCTCCTTCCTCTGGTGTCCTGGGCACTTCCCAGTCCCCTGCTGCAGGGACAGGATCCTCCCCAGGGTCAGAAACCTCCCCAGCATCATCATAGCCATCTGCTGGGTAACCTCCGGGCAGGACAGGGACATCTGAAAGGAGAGGGAAGGTGGTGGCAATGAGAAGAGATGTCCTGCAGAGCAGAGGATGGGAGGGTGTGTGGGGACACAGGGCTGACATGCTGCTGGTGTCAGGGTCACAGCAGAGCCTTCATGCTTCCAGCTCTGATGATAACACTCGGTGGCCACTGCTGTCTGTCTGGTCTGTCTGCAGGGAGGAGAAATGGAGCCCTTTCTTCCCCCCCCCACCTCCCTGGGTGTGGCCCCAGACCATCCTCCTCATGTGCCTGGGGTAGGGCTGCAGCTGGGTCAGGGACCCCTCTGAAAAGGAGGCTGCAGAGAGCTGCAGTGGGTGCTGTGGGATGAGCCCTGCTGCCCTGACTGGTGGTCAGCACTGCTGGGGATGGGCACCCACAGAGCTGGGGGTGCATGGGGAGGAGACCAGTTCCTTGGAAAGAGACAATTCTCAGAGAACTCCAAGCTGCCCTGGGAAAGCCCTTCACTTAGTCCTTGGTTCAGGGACAAGCAGAGAGGGGCTGTCCCCTCTGGGATGGGCAGAGCTGGTGTGGAGGAAGCTCCTCTGTGGGGGCCAACCTGGATGCTCTCCCACAGACCCCATGGTCCAACCATTTCAGGGACCATGGGCAGGAGCTGCAGGGCACAGCCCTGGTCTGAGACAGGGAGAATGGACACAGCAGATGTGCCCCCGCAGGTTACCTGCACCCACCTGAGAGACTGAACCTCGCCTGCTTCTCCCACGCCAGGCTGTAAGCGATCTCCTCGTACACGGCCTCAGGGAAGGGCTCCCCAGCTCTCCCGGAGCCTGGGACAGAGGCAGGGCTGGTCTGGGATGGGCAGAGAGGGACAGGACCCCACTGGGCTCCCCAGCCCCATTCCCTAGGCCAGCACAGGGCTGTCCCCACAGCACAGCCCCTGTGTTGTGTTGGCACTGAGCCACATCCCCAGGGAGGGCAGCATCCCCATGGAGATGGTCTGGGGCAGATCAGCCTCACATTTGGAGACAGCCCTTGTGCCCCTTTGTCCCTGGGTCATGTCCCAGTGCAGACCCTGCACCAATTCCCTCATTTCCCTCCCATGCTGCTCCTCTCTCTGCCCCACAGCAATAGCACAGCCCGTGCCCTGTGGGGGTGGCTGACACCACGGTGATGGACTCCGCTGCCCCATGCTCCTCCTGCCAGTGCCCAGAGCACTGCCAGCAGTGCATCCTCCCCTTCTCACCCAGCCCAGCTCTCACATTTCTCTTCTCACCCCAGAACTGATGCCTCAGGTCTGGGCTCTCTCCACCCCTTGATGTTGGTGCCCCATGGTCTGTCAGTCAGTGGGGCAGCACATGGGGCAGGAGGCAGCACACGGCTCTGTTTCTGTGCCCCAGGACACCAACACCCCAGCCCTGCCAGGAGGCATCTCCCCCCCAGGACCACTGGGGAAGGACCCACCTCTGCGCCGAGCCCTGGCACTTCGCACCTGCCCAGCCAGGAGGGCCAGGAGCAGGCAGAGGAGGGCCCCCAGGATGATGCAGATGACGACAGGCACCGAGAGTCCCTCTCTGCTGGTGGTCGGACGGCCCTGTGGGGGATCTGCATGGGCAGGAACATGGCAGGGGCAGCATCAGACAAGGGAGAGGTTGGGGGCAGGACATGCCACTCCTGACCACACAAGGCAGCAGGGGCTGGGGGGACAGGGCTGGGTGATGGGGCAGCTCCCACCCTGCTGCCACCCAACTCTCCCATCACAGACTTCTCCCAGTCCTCATTCACAGCCCAGCAAGGAGCCCCTTCCCCTGGCTGTGGGTCACAGCGTGGACATGGACAGACCCAGCCCAGGGGAAGGACAGCTTACCTGCTTGTGGGGGGGTGTTGCTGTCCTGGGTGCAGCTGCAGGGGAGCAGAAGGAGAGCTGGGCTGAGAGGCTGGGGCTGTGGCACCAGGCAGCCTCCCTGGCAGATGACCCCAGCATGTGCCACCTGAATTGTCCCTCCTGTGGGGCTGGGCAGGGTGGCAGGGACAGGGCCCAGCACCACTGCTCTGGGCTGCTCACAGGACAGTGCAGGCAGCCCAGGGGATGTGCTGGCACATCCAGCCCCACAGAGGCTGCTCCCCACCCACCACCAGCCCCCACTCTGCAGGAACCCTTGCTGGGCACTGGGGCCATGGATCCAGCAGGGCAGATGCCCAAGCCAGCTCCTTGCCAAGCCCCCAGCCATGTCTCCCAGCCCCACTGCTCACCTGAGCAATGCACAGCCGCATCTGCCTTATGCTGGCAGGCACGCTGTCCCCTGGCTGGGCCCAGCAGTCCTGCAGAGACAGCTCCGTCCCCCTGCACTCCATCAGCCACATGGGGCCCGTCCCCTCTCCAGCAGCAGCCTGGCCCAGGGCATAGACGCGGGGCCACAGCCCAGCTGCCTGCACGCCACCTCGGCGTCCCGCATGTCCCAGGCATTGTCACACAGCGTCCCCCAGGTGCCGCGGTGCCAGATCTCCACTCTGCCCGAGCAGCCGTCCTTGCCTCCCACAGCGGATCTTCTCCCTGTCTGGGGAGGCAGCGATGTCCCATGGCACCAGGACAGCTGGGACAGCCCTGCCAGGTGAGGGGGGCACGTGCAGGGGCAGCTCCCTACCTGTGCAGCTGGTGGAGTTGGGGCATGCAGCCACCTGTGGCCTTTCTGTCCATGTCCCAAAGGAAAGAGAAGTTGGGCTGAAAAGGGTTGTTCTGGGGGTCGTGCAGAAGAGAGCAGAGCTGACCTCTGCTCACACGTCCCCATGCTGCCTGGGTCAGGGCAGCAGCAGAACCCTGTTCACTCAGGGGACACACACGGCACTGCAGGGGGGACCCAAGTGCTCGGCCCACAGGGTCCCTGGTTCACAGAGCAGCAGGAGGCTGTCCCAGGAGGGGGACTCCTGAAAGCCCTGCATGGTCTCCTCTGAGACCTTGCCTGGAGTTGCCTCTGCATCCCCCAGGGAGCTGCTGGCAGCCCGGCTGTTGACTGCTGCTGGTGGACATGGGTGGCTCCAAGAGCTGAAGTCACCTTTGTGCACCAGTAGCAACAGGGTCTAATGCAGGAAGTCAAAGCCCCTCTGGGTTCCTTCTCTGCATTTCACCATGCCCAGTGGGGAACAGGACCTGGTGCCTTGATGGCTCAGATTTACCATTGCAGGTGATGTGGTCTCTTCTCGGGTCATCACACTGCGGATCCAGGGAGCAGAGGGACACTGCCAGAAGGAGCTGTTGCTCTTCCCACACTCCACGTGATCCAGCCATGTGGTGCAAGACAGCTTGGCAGAGTTTAAGATTATTTCCCAATCCCCTTCATTTCCCGCAGCCCAGCTCCTTGCACACCAGTGACACCGTCTCGGTGGTCATGGAGTTGGAGCAAACGCTGCCTCACGTCCCATTGTAAGAAAACCTGCAGGCGCCTGGAGCAGCCATCGCTGTTCTCCAGCCTCAGGGCCATGAACTCTGGAAGGAGGAAGGGCCCCAGGGACGTCCTTGGATGTCAGCCACTGATAGCCTTGGCCCTACCTGGCTCTGCCCTCACCCCGGCCTCTGTCCCCAGCTCCCCTCCCCATTCCCAGCACAGACCTGAACAGACGACTCCCGCGTCCCTCCTTGTGCCTGCAGTCGTGCTGCCCCCAGGCCTCGGCAGGGCAGTCCCAGAGAGCAGCTTCGGCCCCGGAGCAGTTGACGCCATCCAGCCAGATCTGCCCGGAGCCCCTCCCCAAACCGAGCAGAGCCGGCTGCCTCCAGGGCCCCCTCCGCAGCCCAGCTGGCGGCAAACGACGGCGGCGTCGGCCAGGTCCCAGGCGTCGTCGCAGACGGTGCCCCAGCGCCCCTGGTAGTAGATCTCCACTCTCCCGGCACAGAGCCCCTGGCCCCCGTCCACCAGCCGGACCCGCCGGCTCCCTGCAGCGGGGAGATCCCCGGCCGTCAGGGGCTGGCTGCCCTCCCAGCCCCACACCTGGGGGACGTGCAGCACCACTCACCCCGGCACACGACCCCCACGTCCTCCATGATCCCTGCTGCCTGTGTGCTCTGAGGCAGCGAGGTGTTGCAGAGGCTCAGGTCAGCCTCGTGCCCTGCACACCGCACCCCACGCAGCCCCACAGGTCCTCGTCCTCGCTCGGCCCTCACAGGGGTGTAGGCTGCCTCTGCCTCTCCGCACTGCAGCTGCCGGCACACCACGCTGGCCTCCTGCATGTCCCACTGCTCATCCAGGACTCTGCCCCACATCCCGTGCTGGAAGACCTCCACGCGCCCTTCGCACCGGCTCCCTCCGCCCACCAACCGTACAGACATGTGGTGAGCCGGGCCTGGTGAGAACAGAAATTCAACTAGCACTGCCGTGGGGTCCAAAGCTGTGGGTGGCCGTGTCACACACCAGGGGCAAATGGACTTTGCAGCACTGCCCAGAACTCACCTGAGCAAATGACAGCAGCAGCGTTCTCCTGGGAGCACGGCGAGGCCCCCAGGGCAGTCACCGGGCACTGCCCCAGGTGGGCTTCAGTCCCGTCACAGTGGAACGAGTCCTCTCCAGACGGGGCCGGTTCCTCTCCCAAAATGCCCTCCTCCAGGAATGGACTCAGCAAAGCCACAGCCAAGGTGCCGACACAGAACGTGGGCATCCGAGAGGTCCCAGCGGGAGGCACAGAGGGTCCCCCATGTCCCCAGCACCGCGACCTCCACCCTGCCCTCACACGCTGTTCTGCCGTTCACCAGCCTGAACCCTGTGTACTCAAGGACAAAGGAGGGTGAGAGAGGCCACATTTGTGCTCTTGCTCCCACAGGAGCTGCAGGAGAGGCCAAAGGGACAGCGTGCCTTTCTCCTCCTGCAGCACTCTCATTTTAGGGCCGCAGACCACCACCTCACCCCAGCTGTCCCCACCCAGAACAGCCCAGTGCCCACCCCGCCCCCACCACAACCCCAGTGGCCATCATCCCACTGCGAGTCCTTACGTGTGCAGGTGACATGAGTGCCATTGCTGTGGGTGCAGGCCTTGTCCTTGGGGGCCTCCGTGGGGCAGAAGGAGAGGACGGATTCATTCCCCACACACTGCAGCTCTCTGTCCCAGACAGGACCGGCCCCTTCTCCCAGCTGAGCTGCCCCATGGACAGACAGGGCTGTGCCACACTGCAGCTCCCTGCAGACCACCTCGGCAGCTTTGGCACCAAAGTGGGAGTGACAGACAGCTTTCCACTGGTCCCTGTCGTAGATCTCCACACTTCCTGAGCAGGGGCTGTTCCCTCCGACCAGCCGCACAAATCCTGGAGCAACCAAGGAGACCTGTGAGTTCCCAGAGCCCTCTGGCACTTCCATGCCCACCTCATCCCTAAGGCAGCCACATGCAGAGTCCCCCAGCCAGCCCAGCAGCTCTGAGAAGGTGCTGGTGACACAAAGATGTCACGGCCCCCCTGCTGCTCCTCAGAACCCAGCCCAGCACCCATGTCCTCTTTTCCAAGCCCCCAGCTGCAGACACCGCTCAAACTGCTGCTGCCCGGAGCCCCTGGGCTGCCCGGCCCCAGACCCAGCACTGCAGCACCCGCAGCACGTGGGCCTGGGGAAATAGGCCCAGGAACTGGGGGCTACTTCAGCCTGCTCTGCCTTACAAGGCTCAGGCCAGTTTAGAAGAAATCCTTGGATCTGCCAAAAAGCTCTCTTGTTCCCAGGGAATGCTGGGGCTCTTGGGGAGCTGCTGTTACATGGGGCACATCGGGGGATCCTTCGCAAAGGGGGGTCCTCCGGTAGGGACAGTGTGGTGCTGGGCATGCACGTCCCCAGCCACCTACCATGCATGGGTCAGGAAAGCAGGCAGAGAGCAGGCCTTGTTTGACACGAGCTCCTGGTGTGAGGGCAGGCAGAGAGGAGAGCCAGGAGGTGCTGGCACAGCCCCTGGGGCACAGGGCAGGCAGGAGAGTCTGAGCAGTGGGTCAGCATTGCCTGGAGGGGCCATGTCTCCAGGGGCTGGCTCTCATGGGGTGACCCCAGGACAGGAACAAGGTGCCACTTGCCACCATGTTCCTCTGCTCAAGCCCAGTGCTCCTGCCCTCTGAGCAGCCCCTCTGCTTTGGACGAGGTTCTCTTGTCTGCTGGGGGTAGAACCCAAATGTCCTGGGCCATTGCACGCCCTTCCCTGAGGCTGCTGGTGGCTGGGGGAGCTGCTCTAGATTCCCCTGGCATAGGGACCAGCCTGCCAGACAGGGCCTGGGTGAATGGAGGAGAAAGATGGGAACCAGGCAGCACAGTGGGGAAGGGTGGGGGCTTTCCTCTCCCAGCGCCGGGCACCTCCCCAGGCTTGGCTGCTCCAGCTTCAAGGCCAGGCTCAGTGTGCTCCCTCTGGGTTTTCCCCAGGGACAAGGGACACCAGCAGTAACAGACCCAGCTCAGAGTGCAACTTGACACACAGAGCCATGTTCTGGTGTCCACTTGTTGCTTCCTGAGGTCACAGCCAGGTCCTTTAGAAGTGTCCTCGTCCCAGAAGTAGGGAACAAGTTCAGTCCTTACCTGAGCATGTCACTCCAGCATCCCAGCTGTGATCGCAGTTTGCTTGACCCCATCCCCTGTGTGTGCAGTCAGACAAGGCAGACTCCTTGCCATTACACTGAACACCATCCATCCAAATAGGCCCAGATCCTGGCCCAAAGTGTGCATATCCAGGAGCTTCGAGAGCACCCCCACAGCCCAGCTGCCTACAAACCACTGCAGCATCGGACTTGTCCCAGCGGTAACTGCACACGGTCCCCCACTGGCCCTGATGTTTCACCTCCACTCTCCCAGCACAGCGACTGCCGCCATCCGCCAGCCTCACCTCCGCAGCCCCTTCAAACACCAACACAGGAAGGGTCAGGAGAGTTTTGAGCCCCACATTGTGTGTCCGTGAGGACCCCCTCCCCAGGCAGACTCCCAGTTCCCAGGGTGGGATCCCTGTCCCCATAGGCTGTCTCAGGGGCAGTGGGGGGTTCCTCCTCTCCCCATGGGCTACACTGGGCTGGGGGTACCCAGCTCTAGCCCTCCTGGGCCATTTGCTGCCCCACAGCCCTCACCACCTCCTCCCACCCCAGTGGAACCCTGTCCTGCCCATGCCCACCCCCACACAGCCCCCAGCCCTGCACAGAGTTTCCACTCCTCCCCATCCCAGTGTGCCCCAAACAGACCCAAGCCCCTTGAGCAGCTTCCATTGCCCATTGTCTGCCATAGACAACTCCCAGACCCACTGTCTGGGTTAACCACAAGGATACCAACAGCCCACGTCCCTTCCCCATCCCTACTGTCAGACTGGCCCCTGTGCTTGACCAGGGCCCCCAAGAAGAACACCTCTCAATGCAGATGCCCCTTCTGTTAATGAGACACAACCTGCCCTCCTGGAGTCAGTGTTTCCCCAGATCCCAGGGGCAGGGAACAGCACACAACCCCTCTGGGACATCCCAGACATTGGCTGTGCCCTGGAGATCACTGAGGGTCACTCTCACTGTCTGGAACTCCTCCAGATCCAGAGGCACAGTAGTGGGGAACAAGGGGTCGCAAAAGGGTACCCAAGGACAAGGTGTCTAGAATTGAAGCCAGGCGTGGGTTGCCAAAAACATGGCAGATACGAAAATGGATTACCCCCTTCCACTCAGACAGGCACCGATTAAAGAACAGAGCTGAGAGACTGAGAAACTTCTGCCTCTCATATCAGTGGTGCCTGAAAACAACCCCACTCCCAGAGAGATCCCAATGACCCCACTGCTGCCCACAGTCCCAAGGCTGTGGAACAGAGAAGCTGGCACTTACCTCTGCAAGGCTGCACCCAGAGGAACAGACACAGCACCCAAAGGGACAGGAGTCCCTCTGTCCCCATCCTGAGGCTCCTGTCCTGACAGCACGGCCTCTCTGCTGGAGCTCGTGGGGACCCACGGGGCAATGACGATGATGGGAGGGCAATATATCTGTGCAGATGCAGTCCCAGCTGCAGGAGGAGCCAATCGAAGCAGCAGGCACCTTTTTAGACGTTATCGGCACTTATCTCCCCTCCGACGCAGACCAGCTCTCCAATGAACTTCTCCAGCGCTCTTCATGACCATATATGAGGGACGGCTCCGCTGTGGCCCTCACGTCACTGCGGTGGGAGATCATCGTGGGGTAGGGCTGGGTGTGGGGGCAGATGGCTCTGACACCCCTTGCAGCCTGCTGTGGGAGCACAGAGCATCTCCTGAGCTGTAGCATCCAAGAGCCCAAGGTGCGATCGTCCGGCTGTCCCTGCGCCATGGGATCCTCAGGTCAGGTCCTGCAGCGGGGCTGTGTCAGGCTGGGAAGGGACCAGCCCCTGCCCCTGCTACAGCCCCTGCTGTGCTGGCAGCAGCAGCTGGGAAAGGCCCTTGGGCAGGGCCAGAGCCCCATGATGGGGGTGCTGGCTGTCCCGTCCCTCCCCAGGGAGCCTCCTGTGGGGTCCCGGCAGCAGCCAGAGCTGGTCCAGGGCCTGCCCTGGCAGCAGAGCTGCAGCCCAGAGCCTCAGGCGTCTCCCTGGCTCTCAGCGTGTCACCCAGGGGCCGTTATTCCCCGCGGCGGGTCGGGAGCTGGAGCCTGCCTGCCACTGCAGGTGCACAAACCGCAGCCCACGTGACATGGCGCCCGGGCAGGAAGACGGTGGTTTCCTCCTGGCCCCGTGCCCAGGCATGGCCCTGCGGTGCCTCCCAGCCTCCTCCCAGCTCCAAGCCTGGCAGAGTCCAAGAAGTGTTGGGACAATGCTCTCAGAAGTATAATTTCATATATATATATATATATATATATATATAATTTTAAATAAATAAATACATATTATAAATACATATAAATATATATATTTTACTAATATATCATATCATATCATATCATTTCATATTTAATATATTGTTATATATTATAATATAATATTATATATAGTATTATATATAGTATTATATGTAGTATTATATATAGTATTATATATAATATATAATATAATAATATATAATATATAATACAATATTATATAATATATAATACATTATATATTTTATAATTATATATAATATATAGAATATAATATAGAATATAATATAGAATAATATATAATATATTTTTTGTTTTTATTTTTATTTTATTTAAATAATATATATTATATTTTATTAAATATTATGTTATGAATTTTAATACATATACATATAATGTTTAATATATGTTTATTTCTAAATATATACATAAATCGTATTTTAATATTTTTTATATCAAAACCGCTGTATTGGACTTTCAACTGCTGTATTGGACTTTCGGAGGGCTGACTTTGGGCTTCTCAGGACACTAGTTGTTGGAGTCCCTTGGGAGGCAGTTCTGAAGGGCAGAGGAGTCCAGGAAGGCTGGACGCTCTTCAAGACGGAAATCTTAATGGTGCAGGAACGGTCTGTCCCCACATGCCCAAAGATGAGCCAGCGGGGAAGAAGACCAGCCTGGCTGAACAGAGAACTGTGGCTTGAGCTTAGGAGAAAAAAGAGGGTTTATAATCTTTGGAAAAGTGGACAGGCCACTAGGGAGGACTATAAGGATGTTGTGAGGCTGTGCAGGGACAAAATTAGAAAGGCCAAAGCTCATCTGGAGCTCAATCTGGCTACTGCCATTAAAGATAATAAAAAACGTTTTTATAAATACATCAACACAAAAAGGAGGACAAAGGAGAATCTCCATCCTTTACTGGATGTGGGGGGAAACTTAGTTACAAGAGATGAGGAAAAGGCGGAGGTGCTCAATGCCTTTTTTGCCTCAGTCTTTAGTGGCAATACCGGTTGTTCTCTGGATACCCAGTACCCTGAGCTGGTGGAAGGGGACGGGGTGCAGGATGTGCCCTCACCATCCATGAAGAACTGGTTGGCGAAATGCTACGGCACTTGGATGTGCACAAGTCGATGGGGCCGAATGGGATCCACCCAAGGGTACTGAGAGAACTGGCAGAGGAGCTGGCCAAGCCCCTATCCATCATTTATCAGCAGTCCTGGCTATTGAGGGAGTTCCCAGTTGACTGGCGGCTAGCAAATGTGACGCCCATCTACAAGAAGGGCCGGAAGGCAGACCCGGGAAACTACAGGCCTGTCAGTTTGACCTCAGTACCAGGGAAGCTCATGGAGCAGATCTTCAATTATTTCTAGTGCAGGATATTTCAAAATTCAGTTCAACCCAGCTCCACGTGATGCCATAGCATCTTCACTTGCCATGGGCCTGTTCCTGGCCTGTATTCAGACAGCAATGACCTCACAAACACCTACACAATTCTTGGTCTGCCAGCTCATCGGGCACCAGTGACCTCACAGGTACAATGCATGGGCCTTGCCCTGACCTATCAGCTACTTGATCACCAGTGACCTCCCCACAGACCCACACAAGCCATGTGCTTATTCCTGGCCTACTGGCTTCTCAGGCACCAGGGTCCTCCCAGCATCTAGCACAGGCCATGTTTGCTTTTGGCCTGTCAGCTACTCAGGCACCACTGTTATCACAGGAATATTCATCTGCCATGGGCCTGCTCATGGCCTATCAGATCTTCAGCTGACAGTGACCTCATAAGCACAGATGATCATCATAGAAGATGATCAGTGGAAGATGTCAGTGTCCCTGTCCATGATGGGTGGTGGCTGCTCGTGTTCAGGTGGCTGTTGACCAACATCCCCAGGTGCTTTTTCTTCTGGACAGCTTTCCAGCCACTCTTCCCCAAACCTATGCTACTGAATGGGGTTGTTATGATCCAAGTGCAGAAGCATTGTTGAATGTCATGTGATTGCACTCAGTCCATCAATCTAGCCTTTCCAGATGCCTCTGAAAGCTTTCCTTCCTCAAGAAGACCAACTGTCCCAACTAACTTGTTATCATCTGCAAATGTACTAAGGGTGTACTTGATCCTCTCAGTCAGATCATCCATCAAAATAGTAAACAAAGCTGGACCTGGTACAGAGGCCTGGGGAATGCCACCCACAACCATCCACCAACTGGACTGATCCCTCTTCACTCAGACTCTTTGAGCATGGCCATCCAGACAGTTCTTCAGCCAGCAAACTGTACACCTGTCCAAGCCATGAGCAGATGGATGGGTTGTCATTCTGCAGGGCTGCTGCTACTGAGTCCACACTGAGAAGATGTAGCTCATTCTGTTATGCTTTTTGTGATGCCCTGTGCTCAGTCCTTTCAACCAACTAAGCATGAAGCTGGTGCTTGTGATGAGCTGGTTCTCAGCTCGTGTTCCAGTTACTTGCTAGCATGTATCATTGTTGTTGAGTTTGTACAGCACTGGCATTCTTGCATTCCCTTTTGTCTCTGTTTTCTTGAGTCTGCATTGTCAATGGTAGTTCAGGAATACTGGAGGGGTGGCTGCGGGGAAGCATGAGGTTGCATCTGTCATGGTGGGACCTCGGTCAGCATTCACAGTGCAGTGACTCAACTTTGACACAGACAGGAATTCTATCCTTTGAGGGAATCCCAAAGGTAATTCCTTCTTGAAGGGTGACGCCATCCTGAGTCGTGTCCTTGCCTGTGCAGCATCTGTCAAATGGCTGATAAGTTTCTCCTCAGAAGAAAGTCCCTAATGTGAGGGGCTGTCTAGAGCTGGGCTCCTCTCCACAGTTCTGACACAGAGTCTTCTCTTGCAGGGGCTCTCCAAGGGCGGCAGCCTCCTTCAGGCCACATCCACCTGCTCCCACATGGGGTCTTCCATCAGCTGCAGTGTGAAGATCTGCTCCAACATGGTGCACCACAGGGGAACATCTTCTCCAGCACCTGGAGCACCACCTCACCCTCTTTCTTCACTGACCTTGGTGTCTGCAGGGTTGTTTTCTCTCTCAGTTTCTCAATCTTCTCTCCCAGCTATTCCCTCATGTCATTTTCAACCCCTTTCTTTAAAAAGCTCTCACAGATGTACAAACAGCATTACTCATTGGCTGAGTTTGGCCAGCAGCATGTCCCTTTTGGAGCCAGCTGGAAGTGGCTCTTCTCTAAGAAGGGGCAGCTTCTGGACTCTCCTCACAGACACCAGCCCTGTAACTGCCCCCTGTTACAAAACCCCTTCCATGTAAATCCAATACAACCTCCCACCCACAAAGTAAAAACAGAGCCCAGACAAGCAGCAGCAGACCCATGAGCTGGCAATGGCAAGGCACATCAAGGCCTGCTAGCAGAGGCAAAGCCTGGGAGAACTGCTCTGAGGTTTTTTGGCTCTGCCCTCCTTGGATGAGATCAAACAAGGAGGGTTTTGGCAGGGGTTGAGCTATTTCTCACTTGTGCTTAGGTGGGAGGTTAGAAACAAGCCCAGGTGTTTGTACCAAACCCAAACACACCCACACACATCCCAGAGCAACAGGGACTGCACTACCACAGGCCACCTCTGCACACCTGTGCATTTCCCTACAGGACACATTGGGTGACACACACCTTGGACATTTCAGGACCAAGGGGTCTCTGCAGAGATACTGGAGCTTGACTCAGGGCATATGCTAACCCTGATCTGGGCTGGAAAGATTCCCAAAGTGCTCAGTGCAGTATTTCCAGCCTGTAGAATTCAAGTAATAGTCAAACAAGCTTTGAGAATATGCCCCGACACACACCTGTACAGCCATGGGCCTCCTGCTTCCTCCTCAGACCCTGAATCACAGCTGACCTCAGCAGAACATCCCCACCCATCGCCTCCTTCAGTCCTGTGACCTGACCACATCCATGTCACCTCACCTGCCTCCTCCAAGACCAAGGGATTGCTGTAGGACCTCTCAAGCCCTGCCCAGCCTCATGAGTTCAAACAGTTTCAGTTAGGTGTCTAGACCATAGGAATGCAGGATTTGGGGATTACGTGTTCAGGTTAGGCTTTAGGGATTAAATTTTGCCTTCCAGGGTTAGTGGTTGGGCAGACTATCAG